GGTCCGGGTCCAGTCTTGTCCGGCTGTCTGGTGCCTGTCCGGATTACCAGATGTCTGGACCGGTCCAGACAAATGTCCAGGCCTCAGTCCAGACATGTCCGGGTCCGGGTCCGCCGTTGCCATGTTCTGAAATCATGAATTATTTTCGAATAAATTCAATTAATCCACGCTGGAATTAATCTCTTTATTCGGAATCAATTATCCTTTTTTCAAAATTTTAACATTGCAAAATATCTTTCTTCAATTTCATCAATTATTCTTGACAAAATTCAATTAATCTAAAATTATTCGGAATTAATTCCTTCTTTTTTGCCCATTACTTTTTCAATAAAACTTTCACAATCCTCTTCATTTTGTAAGTAAAAGCCTTCACCCCAACACCTCGAGCAAAGTTGCTGAAGCCGCTGCCACCTCATCCGCTGCTGCCACTTCAACCACTGCCGCCGCTGTCACCTCATCCTCTGCTGCCACTTCCATCGCTGCCTTCACCGCATCACCCCCCACCACCCCCATGGCTGATTCCTCTAGTATCAACATGTCCCCCACGCACACCCAGTCTGTCGGTAGTCTCGCCTGTGAATTTGCAGGCCAACAACGAGCCGGTCCCGCCATCGCCACCGACCTCTCGGCCATCCTCCAAATGTTCTCCACCGTCCAAACCTCCCTCACCGACATGCAAGCCACTATCTCCGCTCTCTCCGACCGCATGACCGCCTTCGAGCAACAAGCCCAGGCCATTACCGTGTTAAGTACAACTCCACCCCCTTCCACATCCGAACCGCCCACCTCCTCCACTCCGACCTCCACCACCACGCCTCCCTGCACCTCTCCTCCTCCTTTGTCATCATCAACCACCCCGTCCTCCAACAACTCTACCCCACCCTCCACTTCCTCCACTTTCACCCCGCCATCACACACCTTTCCTCCCTCCCTCCTCACCAACACATCTCTGCTTTTATCCTGACCACTTCGACCATCTCATCCATCCCGCTCACCTACGCGCAAGTCACCGACATCCCCTATGCGTCATCCTCTACGCTCCTCCCCGCCTTCCCCAAGCCTCCCCCAAACAACCTGATCCCTACCCACCCCACAGATGACTACACTCGCATCGCAACCCCACCCACATCCTCTGACTTCAACACCCTCGCACGCCGTGTCCCCCAAACCGGCTACCTTCCCCCATCCCTCCGCCTCCAAGCCATTCCCACCTTCTCCGGACACTCCCATGACGACGTTCTCCTCTTCCTCGCCAAGTTACAGCAAGCTTGCGAACTCCACAACGTCCCCCTTATCCACTGACTTTCCATTGCCGTCAACAAACTCGTCGACACCGCCCATCGAAGGTGGATCACTGAATCCGCCAACCGACACTCCGTCGGCTTACTTCCCCTCTCCTTCCTCGAGCGGGCCTCCCTCCTCTCCACCACCTTCCGCCCGCAAAAGACAATCGACGACTATGTCAACCAGTTTTGCAGGCTTCGCCAAAACGCCCCCACCGACCGCTTCGTCCAATATGTCTGTACCCTCTGCCAAAACATTCCCCACGATCGTCTTCTCTTCCCCGTTTGCGGTCCCACCAACTCCCGTCCACGCTTCTTTCACAACATCTCGCAGATGAGACCATAGCGTCCCCTTTCGACGACGAGTTCACAGCCCCTCTCGTTGAGCTCGACACCATCTCCGACTCCTCCGCCCCGGTGTCCCTCAATTCGGAGGAACTCAACACCATCCAGTTCTTGCGTATGGAACGCAAGGACCGCATGGCTCGACCATCTTCCTCCACCCCCCGTCACAAGAAACACAATCGAGGAACACGCCTACCTGGAGCCCAACAATGGCTGCTTCCACTGCTGGCAGCTTGGACACCAGCAAACAAACTGCCCCAACGCCGGCCAGTTCACTTGACACGTGAACAAACCTGCGGCATCCACTCATTCGGCAGCCGCGGGACCCGGCCCCTCCTCAACATGACCTCTGTACCCTTGATCTAGGCGTGCACCTTACTCCACCGGCACCACCCCGGCCAGTTCACTTGACACGTAAACAAACCTGCGACATCCACTCATTCGGCCGCCGCGGGACCGCGGGACCCGGCCCCTCCTCAACATGACCTCTGTACCCTTGATCTAGGCGTGCACCTTACTCCACCGGCACCACCCCGGCCAGTTCACTTGACACGTAAACAAACCTGCGACATCCACTCATTCGGCCGCCGCGGGACCGCGGGACCCGGCCCCTCCTCAACATGACCTTTGTACCCTCGATCTCGACGTGCACCTTACTCCACCGGCACCATCCTCTACCCCATAGGACAAGATCATCACCGCCTCATGCTCTTCCACCCTCCTCCCCAACCCTTCATCCATCTCCTTCTCCGATGTTGTTGCAAAACAAGCACGACTCGATCGGCTCGTTAAGTTAGGCCTCGAACAACGCCGCCTCAACACCATGATCTCATCCGCCTCCGTCGACTCCTCCCGAATTCCAACTCAAATTCGTCGCCGCCTCTCTCCTTGACATCGGAGCTACCGACAACTTCATCACGAATGCTTGTGCCCACAAAGCCGGTCTCCCTTCCACTGGCTATGACTCCCCGATCACCATTCGACTCGGGGACAAGGACACCGCCATCGTAGTAGACCGCACTGTTCCCAAGACCACAATGATTGTCGGCTCTCTCCGCAGTTAGGTCTCATTCGATGTCACACACTTGACGTGCGACATCGTCCTGGGAACCCCATGGCTCGACCGTTTCATGCCCTACGCATTCCATCCCACCTTCTTTCGCATCACCACACCCGCTGACTCTACCCTTGACATTCCCTACTTTCCCCACCCTACCTCCCAACCTTCCCTCACTCCCCACCAGTTTCATCACATGGCTCGTCACAACCCCGACTCTACCTATTATTGTTTTGTCCTTGACGATGAGCGTCCCGAGAACTTACTTCCGACGGACAAACCCGACCAAGCCCCCCCTTCCGACCCTGCTCTTACCTCTATCCTCGAGGAGATCAAGGACGTCTTTCCCGAGTCCTTGCCCGCCGGACTACCTCCAGATCGTGGTGTCTCTCATACCATTGGTTTGGAACCCGGTCACACTCCTCCATGCCGACCACCCTACCAGCTCTCCGTTCCAAAGGCTGAAGAAATGAAGCGACAACTCAATGACCTCCTTGAAAAAGGATTCATTAAGCCAAGCTCCTCCCCCTTCAGTACAAGTTGCCTTTTCGTCAAGAAAGGCGGAACCTCCAAACTCCGCATGTGCACAGACTACCGCGCCCTCATTAGGATCACAATCAAGAACAAGTACCCCTTGCCTCACATCTCCAAGCTTCTTGATCGCCTCCATGGAGCCAAGTACTTCACATAGATCGACCTCCAAAGTGGCTTCCACCAGATCCGCATTCGTGAAGAGGATACTCACTCCGCTCTCGCTTTGGGCATTATGAGTTCCTTGTGATGCCTTTCGGCCTCACAAATGCCCCAGCGACCTACCAGTCTACTATAAATCACATCCTTCGTGATCTTCTTGAAGTCTCTGTCGTCGACTATCTTGATGATATCCTAGTCTTGCTGCCTCAAGCGTAGAATACCTTGGCCACATTGTATCCGCTGACGGTATCCTCATGGACCCCTCGAAGGTCACCGCCCCTGTCGAGTTTCCCCCACCTACGACCTTGCTGCAACTTCGTTCCTTCCTCGGTTTTGCCAATTACTACTGCCCCCTCATCCGAGACTTCTTTGAAATCTCCTACCCTCTCCACGAGCTCACTCGAAAGAACGAGCCTTTTGCATGCAACAAATGTCGTCAAGCCGCCTTCAACCTCCTCAAACAAGTCATTACCACAACCCGTCCCCAAGATTGTTGACCCCTCTCGACACTTCTATGTTACCACCGATGCCACAGACTTTGCTATTGGAGCCGTCCTGTCCCAACACTTCCCCTGCGACATCCCGAACCCCCCCTCCATCAAGGATTCCGCCACCCACTCTGGGGCTCCACTCGGCGAATATCCTATCGCATTTGCGAGCAAGAAGCTCATCCTCGTGGAGATGAACCATCCCTCCAATGAGAAGGACCTTTTCGCCGTCATCCATGCCCTCAAAGTTTGGCGCCCATACCTCGATGGTCAGCACTTCACTATCCGCACCAACAACACCATCGTCTCAAGCATACTCACCACGAAAGATATCACACCCCGCCAAGCTCGATGGTTAGACTTTCTCGCTCAATATTCATTTACCATCTGTCACACCCCCGACAAAAGCAACCGTGTCGTTGATGCCCTCTCTCGACGACCCGATCACAAGCCCCCTGAGAAAGTTCACGCCGCCATGGCTCATGTTCAGCTCCTACCTTTACTCCACCACCGATATACTCACGAGTTTCCATCATGCCCGATTTCTCTACCATCTATAACAAGCTTCCCGACCTCGACACCGCCCCCGACCACTCCTTCTACGACAACCTCTTGTACATTAACACTAAAGACACCCGCCGACTTTGTATCCCTGACGCACGTGGTCTTCATACCCAACTCTTGGCCGAACACCACAATGCCAAGACGCAGGACACCTTGGTTTTCATAAGACATTTGATACCTGTCTCGCTACTTCTACTGGCCCTCACTCCTCGCCGACATCAAAGCATACATCCGCTCATGCCCCACTTGTCAAGCAGTCAATCCCTCAAACCAGGCCAAGCCTGGCAAGCTCCAGTCATTGCCCATCCCCACCATAGGTGGCATTCCATCTCTATGGATTTTGTGTGCAGTCTCCCCAAAGACCGACCGCGGCTATGACTGCATCTACATCATTGTCTGCCGCTTGACCAAGCGGGCCCATTTCATCCCTTGCACCACTTCCCACAATGCCAAAGATGTTGCCACACTTTTCTTCGATCATGTCGCACGCCATCACAGTCTCCTTGAAAACATCATCACTCCTTTCCCAATTATGGAAAAACCTATTCAAAGCCTACAACACCACTCTCAAGTATAACATTGAATTCCATCCCCAGACCGATGGCCAGACCGAAAAGATGAACGATACTCTCCACGGAAGTATTGTCATCCACATCAGCACGACTGGGATCGGTTGCTCACTGCTGCCGAGATTGCCTACAACAACGGTGTCTGCCCTTCCACTAGCATGTCCCCATATTACCTTGACCTTGGCTACCATCCCCGCTTGCCCTCAGACTTCTTGCTCCCCTCGCAGCTCAACCCATCCATTCTCTGTCCTTCTCTCACTGAATGGGTTGCAACAATGAACCGCCTCCTCAGAGAAGCCACTCACGTCCTTGAAAGAACCCAACAACAACGAGCCAACAGGGCCAGCAAGCACAGACGAGATATCACATTCAAAGTAGAGGGCGTCTGACTCTCCGCCAAACACTTTGAACTCGAACTTGGCTTGTCCAAGAAACTCTCAAACAAATGGCCCGGTCCATTCCCTGTCATTGAACAAACATCCCTGTAAATTACAAACTTCAACTACCCCCTGACATGAGTCGTGCTCACCCTGTCTTCCACGTCGAGTACTTGAAAGAATACCATGGATCGCCTCCACAGTTCGCCAACCGCCCTATCCTAGACCCCCACCAATCATGCTACCTACCGGGCCAGAATTCGCGGTAGAATCTATCATAGGACGAAGAACAACTCAAGTATTCAATCATCCAATCACCCGGAACCAATCACTGAATACAAAGTCAAATGGACCGGATACCCAGATGAAGAATCTACATGGGAACCCCTCAATAATCTCAAGAACGCCATGAAACTTGGTCGTGCTTATGATCGTGCTCACCCTATATGCTAGCAATATACTTCGTATAAAACCCATATACTCTGCATAAACCCTGCCTCATGGCTCTACACACATCCCCTGCACCCAGCAGAAGACCTGCCCCTCTACCTCTCTCTGTCTGACCCGCTCTTGCCTTTGTCTTGTTCCCCCATCTGTCCTCTGCCACATCCTCTGTCTCTCTTGTCCAAAGCCTTACCCATGGCTCCTGCGCATCGCCGACGATAAAGGATCTAATGGCAAGGGCACGAGGACAATGGCCTGCTGCAGCACAGTTCAAGGGGATTAAGCAGCTGGTTGGCCACCATGCTGTCCCATTGGCCGGCACCTAGACTCGCAGACTTTTGGAGCAGCACTCTTGACATGGACATCAGGATCAGTCTGAGACCTGCTATCCGGATCAGACTTCATCGTGTACCGGATGCACACTGGCACTTGGACCTTCATCTATTGGACTGCTACACTACTACTTTCAAGCCGTAACCCTCGCTACTACACGTCGCAAGCCTGCTGAAGACCGGTTTATCATCAGCATTTTGTACCTGCACTTACTTCAAGACCTGCTTCAAGACTCTCAGTGAGACCGTTTTGCAAAACCTGCGATTTCCCCCACAAAGAAACCCCAGCCCCTGAACACTGCAAAATAATTTTCCTTTCTTTATTTTTGCTCACAGAACCCTTTCGCCCAATAGCCCATCAGTACGACAACCCTGTTCCCCCGTCAGATCATAACCCTGTAGTCCATCAGTAGGACAACCCTTTTCCCCTGCAGTTCCTAACCCTGTAGTTCATTAGTAGACACTTTTTTTCCTCTCAGTAGTCCATCAATACGCATAACCCGTAGCTCACTAGTGGGAAAACCCTGTTTCCCCCGACCTTGTCATCCACATTATACCCCTCTTCCTACTCTTGATGCTTCCCAGTGATCGGTCCCGTCCCATCCTTCACAGGATTCAGCATTATTTTCATGACTTTTGGCAGCCGGGACGTTGCCTTCTAGAGGGAGGGGATAGTGCTACAGCCTCTGCCATGGCTCGATCCCTGGTCTGTGGATTACCACCCGCCAGCTTGCTGTATTTATGCTTTTTTTTTGTTTTTTTAACTTTTTACACTTTTCTTGTTTTATTTTGTTTTTGCTCTTCTGATTTCAGACAGTTGGCACCATCTGCATTCTGGCGCCCGTTTTCAAAATCCTTCTTTTGGGATTTCCGGATTTTGGACACTTGGCGCCATCCGACATTCTGGCGCCCACTCTAAGACTTTCGATTTTCAGTTCTGGCCCCGACGCATTTTCACTTTCGCCTCAGGACCGTAGTTGAGTCCGATACTTATGTGCAGACTCGAGCCCAGTACGGGCACCAAGTTTTCAGCCTCAATGCTTGTGTTCAGTGCGACTTTGCTTCGACATTGTGTTCGGGATTCAAGACTGCGATTTTGCGACTTTTGCCACTTTGTGTCTGCATCCGTCGAGTCGTGTCGAGTCTGTGTCGAGTTGAGTGAGCGTGTGTGCTCTCACTCTCCCTCCCTTTCCCAGCCTCGCTGCTCTGCCTCCGCCTCGTCACAATACCCATATTCTCCCACGGTTTCTCAGAGGCAATGCCAAGATGGACAGGGAAGGAACACGGCCTCCACTTCTTCACTCCTCCATTGGACGTGCCTCCCTTGTTGGCCACGACAATGGTAATCACCCTTTCCTGACTCACCGCCATTTCCTTTTTCACCGCCATTGTCTCGTCATAAAAAGGACAAGGAGGTGGTCCTATCGCTTTTGTCTCCACTAAATTCTCTTCCCCGTCCCACCAGATTGTCCACCCTTAACTGCACCGGTATACATACCTTTCTCTTGGGAGGTCATATGCTCCCGCTACAAAACAAGATCATGAAATTGGCGATACGTGTACTTACCCAACCTCAGCGACTGATTGACCCCATATGGGTTCAACAAGTGATCGGGAGTAGGTATAGAGTACCTGGTCATCATGCATGTTCAGACCAGGGACTCACAATAACTTATCTACTTCCCTAGACAATGTATCAACGAACGTCCAATTTTGTTGTCCAATGGTAGTAAGTTGATCAAAAGCCTTATCGGCTGTGGTTTTGTCTAGCCTTAATCTTCTTTAGAGTTCTTTGAGATTCGAAGTCTTAGCCCAGTCCCGAATAAATTCAGAACCAGCAGCATTGGCTTCAGATAACACCCAGGCCTTTGCGTCTTCCCCGGGACATGAGGTCATAAATGTCACCTGGCTGTCTTCATCTACTGGGGTTGTTGAACAGTAGGTCTGAATTTCTGCAATCCATAATAGTAGGTTCTTCTGCTTTTCACCGGTGTAGATGAACGACAACTTCATCTTCATTGTTTATTTCTTCTTTGATTTTTCTACCCCTGCGGGACGTTGGACTTTCATCGCATCTTTCAACAACTTCCCCCTTAGGTGGTTCCTTCCCATCTTCTTCTTCCTCTTCTCTAGTCAGTTTGTTCTTTCCTTAGACTAGATTGGTCATTGTGGAAGTTCAGCGCTCAACTGTTCCTTCTCCATAATGACACGATCTAGTTTGGTCTCAAGATGAGGCAGGTACGTCATCAAATTCTCGAACATGGATGCCATGTCAGTTTCTGATTCCAGCTTCGTTTTTCGAACTTTTTCCTTTTATTTGTTCTAGCCTCTTTTACTGCTGTGCTTTCTCCTTTTTCTCCTTTACATAGAACAGTTCTGCAATGGTGTCATCCATTATCTGAATATTCAGTTCTTCTCCTTGATTCTTAGGGCTGCTTAGTCCTTCTTCTCTCACCTTCCTTTCTTCTTTCCTTCTTTCTTCAACACCCCTTGTGCTTCAAGCTTGCTCAGCGACAAATTGATCAAGGCTAAACGAGCCTGATTAATGAGCCGCTGCATTCTCCCGCTGACTTCCACCAGTGTGACAGCAGTATCAGGCTGCTCCAGTTCTTCTTTTGGCGCACACAGATTGAACTGTCCGTGAACATGCTGTTACGCTGCTGGTCGAGTGGAGTGTGCTTCAAAGAGCAACTGATGCAGCCTGCATAACATCTGTGCTCTTTTAGCTTTTATCTGTCCCTTCGTCTTCACATATTCCTCTCCCTCTTCTTGATCAGCGAGAAATGTGAAGTAAACAGGAAAGAAGAATAGAGGAATGAATCTGGTCAGGATGGATGCACGCAAACGCTTCCAGAGGTAAGTCGTGTTTGCAAATGACTATGGCGCACAATAATAAAAATAAATAAATACTCAGAAATCTGCAATAATTCATCTCAGAACATGCATCAGTCATGCGTGTGGGACACCACTTTGGTCAAAGGCTGACGAAGGGGTCAAAGGCCACGCCCAAGTCAAAACTGCCCGAAAGAAGGCTGGGGTACCCGAAACGCGGCCTCAAACTGGCCTTCAGAGGCCCACCGTGCGACAGTTGACCAACGAAAGTCAACAACCAACAGCAGCTCGGAAATTTAGGCCCACGAGTCAAAGTCAACATAGACCCAGTCCAGGCCGCCAATCAGAAACACACCTTGGCTGTTTGCAAGTATCCGTAAGGAATCAAGTCCAACTGGGAATCTGCGACTGTACAGGATCCAGTCCATTGGCTGCGAGACAATCTGGGCCATTGTATCTGGCAGACCAGAGGCTGGTCAACTGGAGTCGACACTATATGTTGACCCAGCACCTGCTTACCGACATTCAGTCTTGCACATGCTGCTTGACGCTGGCTGGACGCTAGCTTGATGATGGCACCACACTGGCTGGACGCTGATGCGACGATGCAGAACTGCTATTGCTGTATGCTGGCGCCATTCTCTGTCTTCGACGCCAGCTAAATACTTGACTATGCTGACGTGGCTCTCGCCACACCGATTATGACATTGATGGGGTACTGGCGAGGAGGATAAGGATCAGGGCTGTGAGATTAATCGATGTGGAGGAAGCTTACCTGTCTGCATTCGTGGTCGACATTGTGCACTGCTGTCCGTCTTCATAAGGTGTCTCCGCTGACAAGCGCCATGATGGGATCAGCTCATTGTTAGAGTGTGTCGGAGAGGACTGTCTGCTGACGTGGTGAGAGGGAGATGCCTGAAGAGGAAGTGGTATTGTGAGGGATATATCTGCTATGTTGATGGGTTCTTTCTCTTCCACCTTCTAAGTCTTATCTCCCTTCCGCCTACCTCTTCTCTGGTGACCTGACATTGGGCTACCTGACTATAGGTACGATTTTTGGAGACATTGAAACTGCGCTGAGACATTCTGTGTTTCAACATTGACAAGCTTCTCTTCCGATTGGGTTCATTGCAAATTCTAAATAACGATTTTTAATCTGTTTCTAAATCTGAGCCTGCTAATTATGCCTGATGATGTTCTAATTTGAGTTATTGTGCAGGGAAGTCCTAAGCCACAGCCAGGGGGATCAAGACACAACACCAAAGTTAGTCTGCAACATCCACAAGACAACAGCCCACAACAGGTAAGTATGCAATGTGCAATAAACAGCACCAATGGCACATCAACAATACAATCAAGGTTGGCTGCTGCTGGTTCTTCTCTTCGCAGATGTGTGTCTCGCCAGGAAGGTGTCCAGACGCCTGGCACTACAGCATTTTCCGCATGCTGTACAGCCCGTCTGGATCCACCCATGCAAGGCACTTTTCCCCCAGATATGCCACATCAGCATCGGCATACCACATCAGCCATGCCGTCGTGCCCTGCAAGCAATAAATGCCTCCCACATTAGTAGCGGAGGCCTGCCTGCCTGCCACGTCTTCAAGGAAGTTCGCCACGTCAGCTATGGTACCTGCCCCTGGTAGTATCACGTCAGCAAGAGGTATACCAGACGTGCACAACAATGCCTGCCATGTCAGCAGGCGATGTCAACTTTCGTGCCTGCCTCATCAGAGGTCCTCTGTCCATGTCAGCAGCTGGATATTGGTCATGCCAGTAATTCTGCTTGCCAAGTCAGCAAGCCATGACAACATCAGCATCCAGTATATGCCACGTCAGCTCTCCCTCTTGATCTCGCCAGTCTCTCTCTGGTGCCACGTCAGCAGCCTACACAGCCACGTGCCACCTGGTATCTCCTCGCCGTAGAGTATCTCTTCGGCAGCAATTAAAAAAAAATGCCGCACTTCTTCCTCCACCGTGGACACTTCTACATCATCATCATCCCACTCGTAGGCATCATCAGCAGGCAGCGAGGTAAGTGAACAACTCTCCAATACCAAATTGTAATGAACCCAGTCTCGTTGTTACATGCTGAGAGCCTCCACACGGGCCCCTCACGGGACCCGAGGTTGGATAAGGGCCCCCAGGTCGCATCACCGCAAGCTGGAGGCCCTACGGCCATTTTACTTAGGCCTGCATCGGARAGACTTCAACTTTAAGWTGATTTCTWATTTRTYTAYTTACKGATGTGTTTTTACTAATGTGCTGTTGTCCGTTTTGTGGCCAGGTACACAGTTAGGACCAGGGCCGGAATCAGGCCCAGAGGCTGAGCCTCTAATTCA